TGAATATGACACGACCCGCCGCGAAGCAGGAAGTACGATAAACCGCTGAAAATGGTATTTCGACCACATTGTTCATATTTGTGCAAAACTTAACATTCAAAATGAAACAAAATGTAACCTTTGCATTTTAGATGTTTTTTATTCTCTTTCTATAGCGAAAATATAAAAAAGTCTGAAATTACTTTTTTACTAATAATATAATAATAATTTTGAATTTTATGCAATAATTATATCTAGAACAACAATTGGCCGACACAAACACATTTAAACCTTAACTTAAGGTGTCGCAGATCATTTATTAACTATTAAAACCATTTGTAAAAACCAATTATGATTAACCTTCCTCCTACCTGAAAGTACGATAATTATGATACCTTATTAAGACGTCGTAAAATGTCCGCGCCTGTCGTGTCTTCGTGTATTAACGAGCGGCGCGCGTTCACAAAGTGCATATCGACAAAAACGCTGTAAAATTACGATGGAATCACACAATATCACAATCGCGATTCGTGATATTACGACGCGCTTCTGCTTGGTTTTTTCTCAACTCCTTTCATGCGTATGCTTTTTTATCACACTGCGTAATGGAAACTAATAGTTGAGTAAATAGGCAATCGGCAATGCGAGTTCAAACAAACAAACAGACAACGTGTAAAACGTAAAAGAAGCGCTAGTTTGTAAGAAGTTTATAAAAAGTTGCAAGAAATGCGCTTAATGAAAGTCAATGATTATATGATTATGATGATGATGAGTCTTTAGATCTCAAATGTGTATATAGGTATTTATTGGAAGAAGAACACATCAAGTTATTTCGACTTTTCTGACCAAAGATATTCGTTTCGTTGTTAATTTCTTATGGATTTGATTAACTTCTCCAACACTGGTTAGTGAAGAATATATAACAAAACCTAAAGGACACAATTACAAATAGTCCCTGACAGCGCGTGATGGCGTGATTTATCAAAACGTAATTTCTTCTTTCAGTATTTGTTTTGCGTCGGAGCAAATGAAGCGGCGAGCGTAATGGTGATCTTTTCGGTGCGTTGCCCAACGCACCACTTGAATTACATACGTGTGCTAACGTAATCAAACTTAATATGAGCAAGTAAATCACGACTCACTGCAGCACAAGAAGAAGACGCCGCGAATCTCGACAGTCGACTTTTTTTTTCTTTCGATTTTCAACTCCGTGGAGTTGTATTTTGTGCATATATGCGCACGATCTCGGGTTTGCATTGTCCGATGGTTCAGTCATCGTCCAATTATTTCATTATTTTAAAGTGGGTCGCAACGTAAACAATCAATTCGAAGCATCCTTCGCCAAACTCTGAGTGAGTAATCAGCTCACTACTCACTGAAGAAGTGCAGCGGGATAATAGTGTGATAATGGATTCAAATAAAAATGCGTGAAACCTTCAAATCGACATTATATCCAGATGATTAACCCACATTTCGGCGAAGTACCCAAATACTCAAACCTATAAACTTTTTAGCATACAACATAAATCTTGCGGTAATTACTAGTGAGCTCAATGAAGTAATTACTCGTATATTTGAATATGTACTTAATTTGTTTTAAGTTTTAATAGTGAGTATTTGCAATATTTAACTCTTTGGTTAATTATCTCATCAAAGTGCGATAGGTACTCACAAAATATTGCCTTTTTTGCACATTTTTGTTCATTTTATATTCAACAAGCTTTTGCCGGTGACTTCGACCCGGTAGTGTTTAATAAAAATGTAATTTGTTTTCTCTTGTTCTAGACATAGTATGTGTCAATTCTATCAACAAGATTCGCAATTTTATTTTAAAGAAATTAATTATATAAAGAATTGCTAATAATGCACTTCAGTGCGCCATCTCGGATTCAACTATTTAACTATAACTATGATTAAATCTCAATGCCAACTTTTATCCTATAGAAAAAGGGTGTCTTTAGGGTTTCCCCGGCAATTATTCAAATTGTTCGCGCCGTAAAAACCATCCTTGGACATTGAAAAACATTTTAAAATAGAATTGGCCAAATTGGTCCGAGCGTTGTTGAGTTATGCGCGAACCAACAGATTTTACGTTTCATTTTTATTTTATAGATTTATTTTCTGCTGATAATGTTTTAATATTTAGAATTATATTTCTGATTCTGCACATAATAAAATTCTCATTAAACTTTTATCACGCGAGTAACATATTTGTTATCACTTTATGTAAAGGTTAATCGATAACATTTCTTAAGTAAATATTACAACATTTTTATTGGTTTTTTGGTAAAAATATTAAGAGAATATATTTTAACGCGGTAATAATTATAAAAAAAGAGGATTTTGTTACAAAAACATAACTTAATAATAATTTACAGTTAGTTTATTGTTTTAAAGAGTTTGTTAGTTTTTATTTCTTTTCATTTAATGATAAAGTTAAATGTGCATAAACTAATATAGCAGAACGTTATTACAATTATTATTACGATAATAAAATGAATAAAATAGGTACTAAAAGCATTTGAAAATGCGTATCCAAAGCAACAAGTAATTAATCAGAAGAACAACTTGGACCATTCACGTGCGTGGGTAAAACCCAAGAAAAATGTTGTGTTATATTAAAATATGATGCAATAAACGATGAAGAGACGCAACGCCACCCCAAAAAGTGCGGAGGCGGAAATCCTTTCTCTATTATGTCAGTTTATTGTTTCATGTTTCATATCTCTTTGAAAATTGTTTTTACGATGCGTAAAAGTAATAAAACCCTTTGTTCTTTGTGCATTGAAAATCGCGTAGAATTTCAAAGCGTCAATACACGAAAAAAACCTTAATTGTTTCGGAATAATTAAAAAATGCACGATTGTGCGTTATTTGAAGTCGTTTGACGTTTGATGGAAGTTTTATGCGAAAAGCAAACGCCAATTAAATTCGACGTGTTGAAGCTGTCCGCTTCTTTTTTTGTTTTATGCCGAAGAGCGGACGTATTAAGAGCATCGCGTTGATGCGTTTTGCACGATCCTCGCGAAGGATCCTTCGACGTCGGCGGGCCGCCGCCGGTTGCCTTGTCGCGCGGCGTGCCTTGCCTTGAGGATGATTATCGCTGCTCTCTTGTGGCGCACGAAGTGTGCATCATTAAACGGCCGTGCTGCTGCTAATTCGAGCGCGCGTTGGCGTTGGCGGATTTTTATTCAAATTTAATAAAGATAATCGCTCGGGTGTCGAAAATGCACGGCGCAGGATGACCCCAAACGCGCTCGCTATTAATTTCGTGCTCATTACACACATTACATTGCATTACATTATACATGCTCGTTAACTATTAACGTGCACTCAGAAATTGCTAATTTAAAAGTAAAATTACAAGAACTTTTGATCTTAGTGGCAAATTTTTGTGAAATTATTTTTGCACGAGTACTGATCGCGATTTTGTAGTTTTCATTCATAAAATTCTAAACTCACCTCAAAATTATGTGCATTTATTCATATTAACCGCATTATAAAAGATTATTTTCAAAATATTGCATTGTGCTAAAAATATAACCAATAGTAAGTAAAACTAACCTCAAAATTCGATTTAACATGTCCACATCTATTATTATTAAATATAATTTGTCTTATAGGCCGAAATTACAACTAAAATGTGTTAGCAGAAATATTAATCAAAGCGCATTTCATGAAATCCGATGCAGTTTTTGAATTTTTTTCCTGAATGCAAATGCACATCGTGACGCTGTGTCGACGCGTCGTGATCCATTGGCAGTGGTTTTTGTGCGCGTTTCGACTCCCCGATTGTTATAGCCCATGATGACTGATGGCGATGGCCTATTGGCACAACTGGGCTGATGAATTGATAGATAGTTGATGCTCGGATGTGGGTGAACGCGTCGACCCCACGCCGCCGATACGGTCAGCATTCGGCATCAGACGGAGATCATTGCAAGCCGAAGAATACTGTTCGTTACCACTCTATGATTTTAATTTTCACCTGGGAATCAATAGCTGATGTCCTAACATATCTTCGGTTATGACCCACGATATCATTTACGACTTGCATCTGGCCGAAAGAAAGCCAGAACACGCTCGAATGTAAATTACACCGAACGGGCATTAACGCCGCTGCGCTTGTATAAAGCTCTTAATCGATTAATGATTTAAGCAAAAGCAGCGCGCTAACGAAACGATTGCGCAACACGATCGCCTCGTGTTTATTACGCGCGTCGTGCGCGTGTATCGCCGGGTTATTTTTTGCCGCGTGCCCTTTGTGAAGTCTTGTTAGCTTGGAAATCATCTTGATTGGCGATTCTGGAGCAGTCACACACCATGACTTAATGCAAATAATAATCTATTGTGATGCAACTGTAACGAAATAATTATGTATGCATTATTATTAAATGCGTGATAATTGCTTACATTATCTTTAACGCGTAAAATTAAAGCGCATTTCTTTAACCCATTCTAGGCAAAATTTAATAAATAATATTTTAATTGTCTTTAATCGGCGTGAAACTACCAAAGAACTCGTCAAATGATAAACAAACATCACGCTGGATTATCGTAAATCTTCCAGCGTCATTTCATTTACACTTAGGTTGTATTCTTGCGCTTTGGTAGTGATTGTCGAACCATTGCGGGGACATTTCGATTGTTTGTGTCGGCTGTGCGTTTAATGGCTGATTACACTGATATTAATAGTTAGCGATTATAGCGTTGCGATCGCGCACAATGTGCATGATACATTGTGCGTGGTTTTGTTCGACATCGCCATTATTGCAGTCATTAGACGCGTCGGCATGTGTGTAATGGCTGCATCTTTGCATCGATGCAAACGTGACAGCAATTTGTTACAAATTACGCCGATTCGCATCAGGTTACAATGTTTTATCAAGTAATGCCATGCTGCGATGGCATGCATACCGAGGAATTAGCGAAATTAGCTAAACGAAAGGTCTTAATCGCTAAAAATACATCTATACAACGCTAAAGATCACAAGTGTTAGAAAAACATACAAGACAAGATATCATTTGAAAAAAGTATGCATCATTTATGATCGACTGAAACTTAACAATCAATAAAACAAGTTCGGCTAGCGTTCTAGTTAGGATAAATGTTTTTTACAATAGTGTACAATTGAATACAATTTACAGGAGTACAATTATTATTTGAGTTAAACGCGCGCTGAACTTGGCCGGCTTACTACGATGAGACAACACATTTAGCCGGCAGCCATTTTGAGTATTTTCGCTTGCTGATGTAAGCACACGTAGAAATAAGTCAAGTGAAACCATTTGAAGATATCCAAAAATAAACAACCAAATCATCACTAGTATTTAAACCTTTAAAGCAACATCACATCACAATCAAATTAAGAATTAGTGCTACCATTGAAACCAAGTATTTTCGTAGAAAAAAAGGAAACAAACTCACAAAACGTCAAATAAATATTTACACCTTAGATAACGCGCTGTGTAGTATCTGTTTAAAACAATTACCGTGCACGTTAGCAATTGTTTTACACGGTGATCATCCCGACCAACAATTACTACATAATATATAAATATATATATATATATATATATATTACAATTTGTTTAAAGAAACAAAAAATAAAGTGGTAAAATATCCCAGAAGGACTAACAAGTGCGGCACGTCGAGTGTGTCACTTCGCCGGCCGAGGAACGGGTCGTTCTCACCTCACGAAACCCCATACTTATCATCAGCGTGTCAAAGGGATCCATTGCCATACGATCTTGATTGCATTCCACTTCGGTCCACAAATCTCGAACTGCGCATAAATTCTTGAAGTTTTCCTTGTCCTGGGCAAAAAGCAGAACGTTGTAGAACTAGTTAGGCAACTAAATATACTTACTTCATTCATTGGTGACCAAATTTTCACTCCGGAATCAATCCCACTGGATGCAAGATAACAAATACTAGGATGCGGCTGCACACAGTTGACGATTGACGTATCGCCAATAACGGCGGTCAACAACTTCGTCGATTTTCGATCCCAGAAGAATATCATGCCGTCATCCGATCCGGCACAGATAAAATTACCATCATCGCCCATAAAATTCGCCTCCTTGATGTCTGTCGTCGTGTTACAATGCCCTAAGTATCGAGTTTCGTAATCCCTCGATTCTAATCGCAGTGCCCGCTCAATCGGCGAGATATCCGCGTCCTCTTGCACTTCCATCTGCTCCACATCATCGACGCAATTCAGAGTTTTCAAGTTTTCAGCAATACTCTTGACGACTTTATCGCTAGCGTGCGTTGCAAACTTTTGTTGAAAGTAAGTCATCCAATTCTGAGCTTCCTCCGTCCACTTGAGCGCAATTAAACATTCAACAAGCCCTAAATATCCGGCAATAATTTCCGGCCAGTGCTTGATTACATGGACAAAATCTCGTGCCGCTAAATACGCGTCCCCGATATACCGCCTCTGCATGAGATGTTTTGCTCGTGCGATATAATCACAAGCGCATGGATTACCATCAATAAATTTATCATTTTCCGGCTCGGCTGTCTTTTGTGTCTCAGTTTTCGCTAACAAAGGCATTGGTTCGTAGCGAATATCATTGCAGCATGCTTTTGTGCAGCCATGTTGATATATCTTAGGCAACCAGTCAGGGCGAGACAATTCGTCCATGTTGCGACTATTATTCACGTCATAGAGGTAAACATGATCACCACCCATGTTTACAAGTAGATCTTTTCCCGTTGCATCAAAGGCGATGTAAGTTGCCACGTGACGGAAGCTATTGTGCATCACATGGTCTCGTGCGAGATGTCCCGGCGAAAAGTATTGAACACAGGTCGGATCTTGAGGCTCTGCTGGTGTGCGCTTTCTTGCATCAAAGGCGTGATTGATCTACGCATATAAATGCAAAGTTTACTGATGCCCGCATGCCAAGATGTATACTTACTGTAATTTTAGAAGTTTTTACAAAGCGACGATCGTATAATCGCACATAGGCATCATTGGCACCAACTGCAATAAGATGCGTCTTCGTGGGATTCACCGCAATGCATTTAAACTCGGTAGTGAAGAGATCCAGGAAAGCAGTTGCGTTCTTTGTGCATTCATGAGGTTCTCGCAAATCATATTGAATAACTAATCCGTCTTCACCAGCCGACCAAAATAAAGTCGGGCAATCTGGCGCCGTCGCTAAACGTTTTACTCTAGCCGCATGACAACTGCAATCCATGATTGCCTGCTTGCCAGTGTCTTCAATAGACTGCACAATCACCCTGCAGTCTCCAGCACAAGTTGCAATCATATTGTCATCACTAACAAACTACAACAAACAATATAATCATGCAAATAGTATTGAATTCCCTGCTTTCTATGATTAAACATACTTTAACTGAAAATATATTGCCAATGTGTTTGGTGGGCACAACATGCAAGCATTTCTTTGCAAATGGATCCCAAATCCTGACAACAGTGTCATCTGATCCAGAGGCCAAATGCAAGCCATCAGCAGTCCACTGCAGACAATTGACGCATCCTTGATGGCCTTCTAAGTGGTGTTCCAGATGCAGGCGCTTCAACAACTCAGCAGTGAACTGACATTTGTTCCGCAGGGTTTTGCCGTGATCGCAGTTAATTTCACGTCCGCGTAGGAGCCGGACAATGTTTTGATTCATGTCGACCATATCACGCAACGAATCCATACTGTTGGCTTGCTGATTAAACATTTGATTAGAAATTGGAATAAATTATTCACGTAGTCATACCGTTTTCGCTTGCCTGATGTAACAGCGCGCAGAATTCGCTCGCACTCGCTATCAGTGCGCTGACAACAAGCACGACCGCATCGTGAATTCACTGCGTGCCTGCCGGCAAATCTATCAGAAATTTTGCGCTGATTGCGGACAATTATTGCGAGAATTTTTATTTTGTTTATGGCGAATCGTGCTGTCAGTATTTATTATGGTTTGAGCTGTACAACGTAGGCAACTTTGTATGCGTTCACACTGTAGAAACGTTTGCAGTGGCATCTGCAAACAACTCTTGTTTTGTACTGACAGGACGATATGAATTTTCTTTTTGAATTATAAGTTCAATAAATATACACGAAGTATAGATCTATACTTCGTGAAATATAATAGAATTTTACATGATTAATAAGATAAAATATGAATGGTGATAACAACGTGATACAAGTTCAATTTTACTAACATTAGATATACAATAATGAATTACTGTGTCTGTCTCAAAGTTAGCAAAACTGAGCTATGTTATAATATTATTTATAATAATAACGAGTTAGTATTTGTCTTTCAAAGGCATAAAAAGATATGATATTTTAAAGCTTAACTAGCTGATAACATTCAGGACAATCGTAGAGTTTTTCATGGAAATCCTCGTTGCTAGCAAGTCGCCCAATTGCTGATTTGTCTCATGCCACATATACTTTCCAATAATCGGCACATCTTCCAAAGCTACCTTAAAACCGACGAGTAGTGTCATACAAAATCCGCCATTACTATTTTTCGAATCGAATTCAACCTGAACAAAACACAAATTAAAACAAAGTATTTAAAATACTTAAACAGACTAAAACTTACCGCAAGAATGCCGTGTGGTCGATGACTTGCCACATCGGCACCGAAAATCTCCACCATGAAGGCGTGCAGCGTGGAATGCACAGATTTGGCCTGGTTAATCTCGCAGACGGGTAGGTGCCACGTCGTCCTCTCGCTGAGAAGCACGTGCACCTTATTGTTGCGCTTCTTGCGGATCAGGACGACGAGGCGAAGGTAAGCGCGCGTGTGCGGTGTCAATGACGGCAGAATGTCAGAGTGCCACGAGCGGTCTCCAGCATTCTTAGCCATTTTGTACTCTCTGCAATGTATGATAAGATTTCATTATCACATGAAAAAACTTTATCCCACAGAAACTGCGCGAATACACTTTTTTCATTCGTTTTCGCAAAAGCGATAACATGAAAGAATTCCTAATGTTGTGTATTTTTGTCATTGTCAAACGTGCGCGCTTGTGCGAATGATGGATTCAAACAATAATTTTATTAGCAGCGAATCGCTGTTTAATGTAAGTGAATAACAAATCGCGATATTAACTGTGCGGAAGTTTGGTTTAGTATACAGTTAATACTTTCAGTTGCATATCAATAAAGAAATCTGGGACGACATTGCGGAATACAAAGATGAATACGCTGTAGTATTGGCCTACCGAGAGATGTACCGAATTTTATTCGCACATCGTGCTCCGCAAGTATTAATTAATTAAAACTAAACAACACTACAACACTAACAAAAGTATGACGTACCGTAGATACACTACAGGGCATTTTTGATAAAACATTTGAAAGACGCTGCGATTACAATGAAGTTGACTCATTGCACTCTTCACCTTGCTGTTTATCTGTTGGATATTTTCATGGACAATCATTCGATTACATCGGAAAGAATACTATTGCTTGCAAACTGTTGTTTATTAATAGCAGGCAAGTTTCAGACGGGATTTAAATAAAGTTATAAAAATATTTGAATGTTTTATATTTTACGTGTAATTTCCAGGCAAAGTAGAAGAATACTATATGAAAACGCCAAAAATTACTGAATTAAACTGGCTTGTGCCCTATCCGTACACAGTAAAGGATTATAAAATTCTCGAAGCGCACATTCTGAAGTACTTCGAATGGAACATAATGATACCAACTGCGGCGCACTACGTTCATTATTATTTGCAAGCTGCAGTTACAAAGGAAGACGTGCGATTAAAGCAACAAGGAGTTGCAACCATCGTACGAGACATGCATACAACTATTCGAACGTATCTTGATAAAGTATTAGATGGTAAGAAAGTGTCTCATTAATTGTAAAAAGAACTATATTTTAAACCAAGTTAATGTGTTGCCTATCTTGCCTAGTTTTGCATGAGATCTGAAATTTTCAATCAAATACGTTTGTATTGCTCAAATATTTTACAGTTATAGTAATTTTAATGCCCAAAAACTTCTAGTATTAAAGCATTACATTAACATCTATTATTTAATCAGGCAAATTTAGATATTAATGGGCTTGTTGTTAAAATAATTCTACATTTTAGATGTACATTATATGCAAAGGCACAAACCGTCACTTTTAAGCGCCGCAATCATATCCATCGCCCGGCAAGCAAACAAACTTAGCGAATGGCACGAACAACTCGAGCAATTCACGCACTACACATGCTCAGACATTCAATTCACCAAAATGATGTTATTAGAGTAAGTTAATAACATATTATTACTTAGATTATGACTATTTCATCAATTTGGTGTTATATTTTAGAACTTTGCCTCTACCATGTACTGATTGTGGTTTAACAATCACCAGCTAGAGATAATTACCTTGCTCTGTCAATGAGGGGTAAGATGTCTTGTGCTCTGAGTGGCACCTCATCCAAATTCTGAATCCACTTCGCCTGCAATGACTCCTGATCTGCACTGGATGGTGACTTTAATGTGCCACCAATAACATCACCAACAAGCACAAATCTGAACCACACTCCCTTCCCAGAATCCACCATAATCAGTGATGTACATTTAATCTGTAGTCCTGTTTCCTCCAGAACTTCCCTCTTGGTTGCTGTTTCGATGTCTTCACCCCTTTCCAGGCGACCTGCTGGTAAATACCTTGAATAAAAGGTTTTATTTTAGCCAAATAAAAATTATTTAAAAATCGTGTGTGTACCATTTTCCCGCACAGGATTTTTTCGCTTCTTGCATCATAAGTACTTCGCCGTGCTCGTTGATGATGACGGCAGCGACGACGTAGGTGATGGTCTCACCGACTATCGGCACCTGCTTCGGATCAACTTTGGGCACCTTGCCTTGTGTTTCCAGTGCTCGGTTTTGTTCTTCAATGCCGAAGTCGCAGATGAGTGACTCGCTGGACGGCGCGAGGCCCTTCAGCACCTCGTTGATTGCCTTTTCCACCTTGTCCGGCATCGCTTATTGTTTATAATTTACACTTTTTATGCACTCACAGTCTCATTAATTCGGCACCGTCGTCGAAAATGTATTTTTTAAAACAGTGTTAACCAGTGTTAATGTTTCATTATAAAATTGCGGCCGTCGCGGCGAACGCACTCGAGTGCACAATCAGGGCGGCGACATTTAGCATTAGCATTTGAATTATCTTACCGTCGTAGAATGCGCGGAATGTTACAGACGTGGAATGTCAACAGAAAACAGGTTGTAAGAATTACGTCAGGTAACTGTGCACCAACATCACCATGTGCAAGATGTGTGGCAATGTGCGTGATGCCCAAGTACAAACCCACGGCTGATCATCTGTTGGTGTAAGTTTACTTTATTAAACCTAAATAATTTTGTAAACATAAAATCAAATCATATAAAATTATTATTTTTAGAAACATAAAAGTCGCATAGTTGATTATGTTTTATAATTCACCGAATTTGGTACATTTAGTTGCCTATATTTTATTTGGTAACCTCAATGTAATTCAGTCTTTTAAAAGCGGGAAACCGTGAAGCGCACTTCTGAAATTAGTTTTTGTGAACAACTGCACTGTGAAAAGATAAAAAATGAGTCTGTGGTTAGATAAGTACCGTCCCACTGATCTATCAAAGTTACATTATCATCATGAACAAGCCGAAAATCTTCGCAATTTGACAAAACAAGGAGATTTTCCACATTTATTAGTTTATGGCCCCGCCGGTGCCGGTAAGAAAACGCGTATTATGTGCCTCCTGAAAGAGCTCTACGGTCCCGGTGTCGAGAAACTACGCATCGTCAAAATGAACTTTACCACCGCCTCTAATAAAAAACTTGAAGTATCCACCCTGAGCAGCAATTATCACATTGAAGTAAACCCTTCTGATGTGGGCATTTACGACCGGATTGTAGTGATGGAACTCATTAAAAACGTCGCACAATCACATCAGTTGGACGTGAATGGTCAACGTGAGTTTAAAGTCATTGTCCTTACTGGCGTTGATGAGTTGACAAAAGATGCACAGCATGCTTTGAGAAGAACCATGGAAAAGTACATCACCCACTGCAGGCTAATTTTGTGTGCAAACTCAACTTCATTGGTAACACCAGCAATTAAGTCTAGATGTTTGAGCATTCGCGTTCCTGCCCCCACCGCGGCAGAAATTATTAATGTCTTGCAGATTGTTGCAAAGAAAGAAAAGTACAATCCACCTGAGGAAATGCTTCAGACAATTTCACAAAAGTGTGACAGGAATTTACGGCGCGCTCTTCTGATGCTCCAGGCAGCTAGCCAAGACCCAAAGTCACAGATTAGAGAACCTGATTGGATGCTGCACATTCAACATGTAGCTGATGAGATATTAACACAGCAGAGCATTCAAAAGATTGCCAATGTCAGGAACATGCTATATGAATTAATAATTCACAATATTCCGACAAATATCATTTTCAAAACATTGTTGGATAAACTTTTGGCAAAGTGTGATATTTCACTGCATGAGAAAGTGGTGGGTCTGGCAGCCGAATATGAACATCGCTTGCATCACGGTAACAAAAAAATCTTCCACTTGGAAGCATTTGTTGCTAACTTTATGTATATCTATAAGGAATTTTTAGAGGACGCTTTGGACGCACTAATGTAATCTCATTACTTTTTTCAATAAATATTTATATACTTTCCAAAAATACTTCCATTTGACTGTTAGAAATGACTGGTAATTCGTTGATATAAACATCGTTAACAACCATTTTGTAGTGATGTTGCAACGCGAACATTTTCGTTGACAAGTCGATATTAAAATCTTCGACTTGCGCAGGTAATGTTTGCGACGCCATTTTATCCTTCTCCAACATGGACATGATTTCAAACTGAACACTCTTCGTTTGTGTGCATTTGTACAGTGTGAACACAGAATCATTGCAGACGATTGATTCGATCACGTCCCAATGGGCGAATAAATCAGTGGATGTTGGGTTGCTGGGTGACCATACGTTAGTTACGCGCAGTTTGGTCGTTGATAGTTCAAATTCAATTAGCGACGAATTACTTTTCACGTATATGCGACCATTATAAGTAAACAGTGAAAAGTGCGGAGGGTATGATAGAACCAGATTGGTGTCGTCTTGAAAATCAAGTGTTATATACACACCCTGCATGTTTGTGCAAAGGTATCCGCATCTGTTGTTCACATTGATCAGGAGAAGTTTATCGTTGTAATTACAACAGCGTAGTTGGCTAGCTGGACATGGAAGTACTAACTGTGTACTCCAAATATCTAAATATTGATTATGTTTAGAGTTTTTAGATATCAACAAATACTTACTAAAATTAATTAAGCAATACTCAACTGTCTATATAATTGTACCAAAACATATTGTCTTGGATAATACGAAATGTTCCGGTTCCGCCAATAATGTATAAGTATGGTCCGCAAATGCAGGATTGAAAGTGTCGGCGTCCAGAAGGCAGTCTTGTTTTTCTCTCCCATCGGTCCCTGATTGTGTCATACACCCAAAAGTTTAAGTTCCAATGACCGCTTCCAAGCGTAACTTCTCCACCAAATAAAAAAATCTGTTCTTTGTAACCAACTATATGAAAACCCTCATAACCCACGTACTTTTCCTCAGGTACATCAATACATTTAATGTATTTCTTCCTAAGCATATCTACAACATTATTATGATTTTATTTATTTCTTTGTAATTTTAAGTATATTTAATTACAAATACTTACCATAAATAAACAGGGTTGCTGTGGTGTCTTCAATTCCACCTACTCGCATGTATTTTCGTTTGCGTTTATAAATATCATGATGCACCTCAACATTATCCTCTTTGGATTCGCCTGATGATTCGTTTAATGTGTTAGTCGAGTACTTTTTTACAAATAGGACTGGATCGACAAAGGTCTTGTTTCTTTTATTTGAATTGAAGAGATTTTTCACAAAATCAATCGTTGACGAATAGTTTTCCGCATCTGCACCTTTAAAGGTAAAAATTAAGCGAAATAATTCTCGCAATATTTGATTATTGTGTACATCCGGCATGATCATCATTTCCTTAATTTCCTCCTCGCTTGCACTTTGAAAATCGACGCAAGAAAGTAGTTTAATGAGCGATTTTACGTCGCCGTCGCCGTTCTCGTAGTACCATTGCATGCAAGTTGTGAAAACATCCAGTTCACTTTTACATTGCAGCGTTACATTTGCAAGGTATAAATGTACTTGTGTAAGATCTAAATCTATAAGAGCATTGGTATCTTTGATCACATTGAACTCAATTAAAGCCAGGTTCTTTGCTTTCAAGTAAAGTGGGCAAATGCCATGTGATTCACACACAAACCATATTTTAATGGCATTTTCTGGATTTAGTTTTTCCGTGAGGATACTAACGCAGTTATCACGTAGGTCTTCAAATTGCAGCATACATGATGTTTGGAGGACATGCAACAAGTCATCTTCACCTAGCATGAATGCTGTGCTACTGTCCACAAGAAGACTGAGTATTAAATTCATTGATTTCAAATCGATTTCCTGTGAGATTAAAATGAAAATTTAAATTCTATTTGTTGTAGTCTTTTGGTGAGTTTATTATGACTTACTTCGAGGGTGATCGTGCTTTTATCACGTTCGACAAAGTTTCCTTCAAACATCACTTTGAAATAGTTACTGTTTTCAATGAGCTGTTGTTTATTACACTTTACCGGGACATTTTCAATCAGCAATGTTACCGTCTCTGATGGTTCATCTGCCATTGTTTGAATTGATTACTTCCTTCACTTAGTTCTCTTATTAGAATCGGCGAATGTTAAACATGCCGATCAAATGCCACTTGTGAGAATACTGATCAGCTGATTCGGTTTAAAGTTATTGCGGTAACGTCAGTTAGAAGGGAAAAGAGTAAATGTGTGTAGTTTGGGTTACATATAGTTGTTACTTTCCGTTTATGAACTATTTCATAAAATGGGGCTTAGAAATAATTTTTTTAAGAATCAGGATATTTATTTTATTTTTCTCTTCTGTTTATTATTATTATTAACAATTTTTTTATGAATTAAGATTAGTTAATAAAAAATAAATGCATTTATTTTTATAATTTATATTGGTTTTACAAAAATATAACATTGCATACAATAAAATAAGTAAAATATAATTAATTAATTAGAACAATATTTTGCTTTTAGTATTTCCTGGACGACATTACATTGATTATTAGCAACTTCACTGGACATTTGACTTTGGCAAGCTTTTAAATTTTTTCGTAATTTCATATTCACCAGTCGCAACTTTTTATTTTGAGCTATAGATCTATTTAATTTTTGCTTTAATTTATGTTCATTAGTATTTACAGACCCTCTTGTTTTAGAACCTACCGGAATTTCTTGAACTGTAAACTTTTTATTAATCGACTTTATCTCGTGACGTTTTCGTTTCCTTACAAATGCTCTTTTAGCATTTTGGCATGCAGTACATTGTATAGAAGAACATAATAAAGTACATGATTTGTGCCTAATTGTATATATTTTATCAGTATACAAAGAAGAAGATTTTTCATATTCTTGAAGTCCATCTATAGTAGTACCTTTACAAACTTTTAAACCATTAATTGTGCGTATGTATTCTTCTAGCTCTTTAATGTTTGTAATATTGTTCTTTACGGTAATGTATGAAGAATCTGTCAATGTTTTTTCCATTATATTTGTGTATAATTTTAATGATGAGTCAACCATGATTTCTTTTAAATTAAAACTATAATAGTTGCCATCTACCACTTCACAACTTATAACAGAAAAACTAATAAGAGGTATTCCGTTATGTGTGATATTATTACGCAACCAGGAAGATGGTAAATTCAAATCATATGACAATAACGTAGAAAAATTAAAATTTTCCACTACATTGCAACTATAATAGGTATGGTCGGAAATATGTTCCTGCCTTCCAGTACTTGAACGAAATTCGGAAACTTCACTCACATTAATCTCTTCTGGGATATTTCTTGATTTAGGAAGTTCAGACACTTGTGCACTTGTAGGACTAGATTCAGAAATATTTTTGCTTTCATCAATAGCAGGTATCACTTCTGTCCAAGGAAATAAACTAGGTACAGCTTTAGGCGCTAATCGTGGACGCTGATATGGTGACTATAATCATTCAGAAATTATTTGATCAATATTTATTATTATTAAAGAAAATAAAATTAACTTACCACACCAACTATATTTCCATCAGGATCTAACAATTGTCGAGTTCGAATTATATCTCCAGAGCGAAAATGTTTTTCACAAACTACTTGTGCTTTTGAAATAAGAGTATGTGGTCTTTTTATAGCAATTTGCCACTTGTTTTTTAATTCCTCTTCTATTGGCACAGTAAACAAATGAACTTTTTCAACATTACTTTTATACCCTGAGGTACATCCTGGTACCAAACAACCCGGCATTTTTATAATAATAATAATATAGTTTTAAAATTTTAATAATTTGATTCAAATTTAGCTTTGCAATTTTTAGCCGACATTAAATTAAATAAATGCTTTAGAAAACAGCTGTTGTGCAACTAAACTACCAGCGCCACCTAAAGGTACTAAAATTACGCGACACATACTCTAACTCTTGCAAGTTTATTTTATAATCTGACATATTTTGCGTAATGAAAACAAACAAAAAATAAATAACTAGTATACATATCGTGGAAAGTGTAAGTGGTTTGGTTCTCAGATGAGAATGTACAGGGAACTAAACGCCTCGTGGAGTGGTGCAAAAGGAATAACAGGCTATATTCTACTATATTCTCGGCAGCGATACCAACGCGCACCATGCGGTGTGGAGCAGTAAGTGTATTTCAAATTTATTTGTATAAATTTTTGATAAGATGTTTGATTTCAATTTAATGGGGGTAAATTTCAGGCAAAAACTGTTATTTAAAGTTAAGTTATGTTAATTGGGATAAGATGTTTGCCTTCAATATACCCACTTGTGTATGAAAGCAATACCAGACTTGCTTAATTCTATTTAAAATGGTATTGGCTGTTTTAAGCTTGTGAGGACCCAATTTGTATTTATTTTTAAAGGTATTGTAAATTTATTGTATGTTATAATAGTGTGTGTTTTGGGCCGATGCACGGTGATACAAGGAAAATATAAGTACTATATAGAGAAAAGCGTAGAGTGCTCAATAATGTCAGTTCTAGAAAATATATTCGACCCGTACAATTAGCACAAGAATAGTTAAGAAATCCAAAGCTTTTGTTTATACATTACTTATATTTTCCGTCTATCATTCTGTTTCTATGTTCTAAAATTATTTTTCATTTTTTAGTTCAATTTCTCATTAAAGCGTGCATTTTAGTTATTTAAAACAACATATTTTTGTGTTACAATGTGCTGATTTTTTTGTTGTTTTAGGTGGCTAGCAGGCGAACAAAATATTCTAGGACATTGATTCAGTTATCAGATTGTAAGTATTGAATTTGTTTAACACTTTCATATACAATTTGTATAATTAGCATACGGGAAATATGCAAAAATGACACTTTTGTGCTTCAATTGGCTAAATTTTGGTTGTTTTAGGTGTGTAGCAGGCGAACAAAATATTCTAGGATATCGCATTAAACTTGTTTATCATTTTCATAAATAATTAGTGTGTTTAGCATACGGGAAACCACCAAAAATGTCATTTTTTTGCTTTGATGTGGTAATTTTTGGTTGTTTTAGATGTCTAGCAGACGAACGAAATGTCCTAGAACAACGATATTTTTTATCCGACTGCAAGCATTGAACCTGTTTATCATTTTCATAAATAATTTGTGTGATTAGCATTCGGGAAACTATCAAAAATGTCATTTTTGTGCTTCGATGTACTGATTTTTGGTTGTTTTAGGTATCGAGCGGGCGAACAAAATGTCCTAGGACAATGATTCTTTCATTAGATTGTAAGTATTGAATTTGTTTCACATTTTCGTATATAATATGTGTGATTTGCATACGGGAAACCTGCAATAATGACCTTTTTGTGCTTCGATGTACTAATTTTTGGTGGTTTTAGGTGTCTAGCGGGCGAATTTTTGGTTGTTTTAGGGGTCTAGCAGGCAAACAGAATGTCCTAGGACAACGATTCATGAGATTGTAAGAATTGAATTTTTTTATCATTTCCGTAAATAATTTTCGCGCTTCATACACTGGAAAGTGAATTAAATTAGTTATTTTAAACATAAGCAGACGCATTGCAGATTTCTGGGTTATTTGTTTCAAAGTCGCAAAACTAAATGACGATATTCGACTATGTTTAACTATGTTTTGTTTCGTCACACCTAGACTGCGCTAGTGTCAGCTATCTATTTTGTTTTGTTCCGCCACGGTCAGATGGCGCTTCCATCGATTTGGTTTAAATTCATACTTAATTTTTGTTTTTAATGCGTTGAGTTGCGGTGCGTACGTCACTTTTATACACAACTTTTATGTTTAACCAAACAAGAAATTACAAAAGTTGCATACTCAGGCTTTGAATGCTCTAATTTTCTGCTGTTCAGTTTTAGGTGTCTAGCGGGCAAAGCCGATGTCGTAGAACAACAATTATTTCATTCTAATTGTTGTAGTTGTTTTCAATTGTCATATACAATATTTGTGTTTAATACTACGGGAAAGCACAAAAGGGCAATTTTGCCACAGTACGTTAATTAAAAACCTTTTTTCCAAATAATTCTTTTGTAAACTTCATCTCATAACTTGTTAACTTGCAATATATTTCTAACTAGCTTTAACCCGCGGCTTCGCTCGCGAATATCTAATATAATGAAGTTGCTTCCGTACGCGTCTGTAGTCACAGAAGAAGTAACAATGAAGTAGAATGGCGGGAAGTTTAAAATGGCTGAAAGTATAGTCTATGGAAGTATAGTTTACAGTCTCCATAGTGTAGTCAATTGGATTTGATGTTGACGTAGCTGTCGGTAATACAGTGTGATAATACAGTGTGATGGTACTATAGTACAAGTTAGGTGTGAGCTTCATTGCTGGAATGCTAGATGACGTTAAAGTAGTCAAATAACCAGAGGCAGAGGTATTATTGGCTAAACAATTTCTTTATTTTATTTAAAAAATAATTTTTTTTATTAAAAAAAGGTAGCCTATAACCATTCGGGGACCACTAAGAATATGTATACATATTTTCATGATGATCTGTTGAGTAGTTTTTGCGTGAAAGTATAATAAACATCAGGTCTTTCGCATTTATAATATTATTAGTAGGGATTGCATTTCTGTCGTATGCAGATAGAAGAATGCCCCTCCAACTGCGGGTCTGTTATCAATTTCCTGGCTTGCTTAGTTCGGCTTAGTCGGTTGAGCGCTGCTCTGTGGTTCGCACGTGTTTCCTTCATTAATCAAACGTGGTGACGATTTCTTGCATTTCTTGATATTTTGTAGCATTACTAGAATCGATTGACAACAAAAGCATTAGTAGTAACAGCCCAGTGTGGCATAAAACGAATGATTTGAGTGATTCGTTACGGTGCGCGCGTAGCGTCCGTCGGATATGTTCCGGTGACTATGAATACTTTCTGATGTTCAAGTTATATTTATGTGTTTGTGAATACAAGTGAATACATTTCATCAATTCTACATATAGTTTGCGGAAATGTGTTTGTGCGGTTTAGTCCTTTGATAGAAGAACAATGAAGTAAGTAGCAGCAAATAAAACTTTTACTTTTATTTAACTTTTTAAATCTCACAGTTACCATGTTATTGCTTTAGAATAATTGTAAATGTTCGGTCAATAAAGGAAATTTTCCATTCTTGTAAACAATGTGTTCACTTAGTCGTTTTCTGGATTAGTATTAAGTCATGTTGAACTCTAAGAGGACACCATAGAATAACATAGTGAAGAAAGAGAGAGAGAATAAAGGAGAGAGGAGAGCAGATAGGAAAGAGGCACCCCGAAAGAACACAAGACTGGTAGCTTGGAATTTAAATTTTTTGGCGGCGTGTCGTTCTATAATACAGTCAATTCTTATCATTTTTATACCTGCTTTGTTCATGTTGCATGCCTATACTTTCTCCTGTTTAGTCGTTCAGTGCGCGTTTGCCACGACCCTCGTTGCATCTTTTAGCGGTTCTGGAGATTTTGATTTGGTAGTAATTTGTAACGGTCGGCAATGGTATTTTGTAATAACACTCGGTTGTGTCCAACGGTTAATGGTTTGCGGAATGTGGATTCCAGAATTGAGTGGCTCTATTCACATGTGTTCCGACGGCAACCGTTATAATTACTGGGACTTTGTTCCCCGTGTGAAGTGAAGATTGTCAGCAAGGGAAATAATGTGAGTAGCATCAATTCTATTTACAATTATCATGTGATGTGTTAAACTTGCCTATGAGGGGGCTGTAGTAACAGTTATCTCATCCATGTTTACTTATCCTTACTAATATTATAAATGCGTATGTCCTGAAGTTTATCGTGCTTTCACGCAAAAACTACTTAACAGATCATCATGAAAATTTGTACACATATTCTTAGTGGTCCCCGATAGGTTATAGGCTACTTTTCATTTAATAAAAATAATTATTTTTTTAAATAAAATAAAGAAATTGTTTAGTCACTAACACCTGTGCATCTGGTTATTTGACTACTTTAACGCCCTCTAGCATTCCAGCAATGAAGCTCACACCTAAGTACTATAGTACCATCACACTGTATTACCGACAGCTACGTCAACATCAAATCCGTACACATATTCTTAGTGGTCCCCGATGGTCCCCGAATGGTTATAGGCTACTTTTTTTTATTAAAAAAATTTTTTTAAATAAAATAAAGAAATTGTTTAGCCAATAATACCTCTGCATCTGGCTAATTGACTACTTTAACGCCATCTAGCATTCCATCTAAAATTTAAAACTTTATTGCATGTAGTAATTTTTTCACATAGATAATCCTAGCCAAGCAGTGAAATATACATTCTTTCTATCAATCCGTTTCAACTATGTATACTGATTTCTAATATTTATTTGATGGATTCAACGCGAGCGAAGCCGCGGGTTAAAGCTAGTTATATATTTGTTCACTATACAATGTAAAGTCGCTTTATTATCTTCTCGCGTGAATTCCGTTGACCGCCGGCCTTCGCATGTCTTCTGGCGGCTACAAATTTGTTATTAATTTTCACTTATTGTCAGAAACAATGTATACCTTGAATACAAAATAATTAATTATTATCTAATAATCTGTATGTATATATAATATTGCATGAGTCTCAATAAATATTATTTAAATGAATATTTAGTTTTGTATCCTCTTTGTCGTTTTCAGGAATAGTTATAAAAGTTATATTTCACTGAAAGTGTTTGAATGATGGCTATACAGTGTTGTTGTTTTTAAAAAGGTGAGAAAAACCACAATATTTATACCTGAAACCAATAACGTTTGATAAGTGGGCGTTGTGGCTCAGGTGGATTGTGCATATACTAGCATGCTGGAGGTTCATGGATCGAACCTCAGTTGTAGAAGGTAATTTTATTAAATAATAAGAAATTTACGAAATGTGCATACCACAAAAATTCAAGATTCAAATGTTAGAAATAACGTGAAAAGCAGAGTACGACGAAGCAACAGTAAGAATAAATAGAAGAGATGGCGGAGGAGTAAGGAAAAAGGAGTAAGTAGAGAGAGCAGGAGATAATAGAAGAAATAAGAAGAGAATATAGAAGAGAGTACAGGAAGAAAAGAGAATAGAGGTGACAGAATTTTTAAATTTTTTGGCACGTGTCGTTATAAGACAGTAGGCCGATCTCCCAGAGCGCCGGAGGCGATCGCCCACTGCTTCGATGCGTCCATTGCTCCCGGCCCATCCTACAGCTACGTTGTCACTGCGCTTCATCCCCGGAATACTCAGGCATATCAACAATTTTTATGGTGGGGGATCATCCCCAGAGAGAGGGAACTCCTTATAAGGACATCCTTTTAAGAACTTGTAAAAATATTTCTAATTTTTACTCGCCTCACACAAGAGAGGGGACACTTCAAAATATTCTTACCACTTCTTACCTGTAGCTGAAATGAAAGATGGAGTACACAAATTATACAGGATACTTTAACAATTTTTATAGTGGGGATCATCCCCCGAGTGGGAGAACTCCTTATAAAGACTTGTAGAGGTATTTCTAAGTGTCGCCGACTCAGAGCCGACTACTTCACTGCGAAATACTTTACAAGTTTGAACCTGTACCTGAAATGAAGGAAGGAAGGGGTGCACAAGTCATAAGGCACAGCCATTGCCTTTAACCTTTCTTTATTAACTAACTAAATAGGTATAATATAAGTTCATAACTTGTATGTTCAATAGTTACAAGACATATGACGTCATTTTAAAACATGTTTATGACCGGCATAGCTGCGCTATGCTAGTGGCTGCCAAATAACAAAAAATAATACTGGAAAATAGCAAATTGCGCCCCGTTTTCGCGTGACATCACTGGAAAATTATATACAGGGTGTTATCAAAAGAAAATCTTTAATTTAAAAAGAAAATCGCCCCAACACAATAAAGATTGCCAATTTTTTGATGGCATTAAGGAACATTTACCTACAAGGTGTTATCGAAAGAAAACCTTTAATTTAAAAAGAAAATCACCCCAAAACAAAAAGATTGTCAATTTTTCACTGAGCATTAAAGAAAATTTTATACAAGGTGATACAAAAAGAAAATCAAAACTGAATGTTTTATTGCCTGTTTTCTACTGTTTATCTAGGAGATGTGATAAGTACGTGACTAGAAACATAGTAAATAATACAATTGCTAATAATTATAATTTTATTAAACATATTTTAAGGAAATACTAAATTCAGATCTCTTAAGCACACAAATTAGCACAGACAGAATTATGAATACAAAAGCAATAAGAAGGCACGAAAAAGCCCCGAGTGAGAGTGAATACGCAGCCGACGGAACGCGACAATATTGCGACACTTACATTACAACGAAAATGTGACGACTATTACTACTTATTTTATTATTAGACTATAGTATTTATGTTACACACTTCCTTACGTTTTCGCAGGTAAAATATTCCACACGGGGCACGAAAGATCTTGATTTAAATTAACTATTAAATGAGTTCACAAAACAAAACCAATAAGAATTTTTAGCCGACGGAAGATATCCGACACCCTTTGGCAAACACAAGCGTATCATATAAAATCATGCAATCCTTCGATCCACGCGCAATAATTCATTAATTCTTATACAATTACCGTCGCGACGAAGACCGCCGCGCAAGTAAACGCGTGTACACTACACCGCAGCGCACGATCGACTAAGTAAGAAAGCGCCCGATACGCTGCAACGTAATAAAAAAAAACATGGTGTTTGTTCACAAACACCGATAAGAGTCAAAAATGAGAAATATGAACAATTGATGTTGTGAATACAGTCTAACACAATGAAACAATGTACCTTAAAATCCAGAATTGAATGCAGTCTATATGAAAGGTAGTTCCGGAGATAATCGCAATTGAAAAATAAATAAAAAAAACATGAAAAATTGTTCCCTTCACCACTTTTAGCGACTATTTTTGAACTTTTACATTACGTAATTAATATATTTTATTATCGTGTTATATAAAGAATTTTCGGAAGTTTTAAACGATTTAATCACGTTATGACGGTGTCGGTAAAAGTGACTCCCATTCAGAGCACCGTACGAAGATGCCGGTGAAAGTGACTCGTGTTCAAGGCACTGTAAGAGGGTAGCGGTAGAAGTGACTCCCATTCAGGCCCCGTACGGGGCTAGCGGTAAAAGTGACTCGTGTTCAGAGCACCGTATGAAGGTAGCCATAGCAGTGACTTGTATTCAGGATACCGTACGAAACTAGCTGTAAAAGTGACACCGATGCTAACAGAATTTCCACCGCATCTTTTGAAAAATTCCAAAAAAGTTCCAAACTAAAAGGATAGCAACCAGAAAAAAGCAAATTTTGGCGGTCATTTTGAGGCAGTTACGCATAAATTTCGTGGAGGTTCAGTGATGCATCTTAAAAACGCACTCTTGCCCTACCATAAAAAAACTAAAATATGACAAAAGGTTCCCGAGATATGGCCGGCTTTTCACAGCGTATTTTGAAATATAAATATATAATGAAAAAACTGGAAAAATATTGCGCTTTTGTTAGCAAAGAAACAGTTAAGTCTGAAATTCATCAGCAGGGTACGCGACTATCTCGTGTCTTTGCAATACGCGGCAGAACGCGATAACAAAACTACATACATACAAGTTAATATTCGACGCATATATTGAAGGGAAACTATAATTTAATTATAAACTTACCACTGCAGAACTCATCGGACTCCAAGGAACAGTGAGCACTGTCAATAAAAAAAAAGAAAACATAAGTTAAACTAAAAATATTTCATACGATTTAGTAATATTATAATCACGGAGAAAAACAAACAATCTGTTAATTAAATTAAATAGTGGTTTGTGGATCGAGTATAAAACAAAAATACTTGGGTTATGGTGATAATATTGTGCAACATTTTTAACTTATAAATGGATTTTTAACTGAGAATGTTTCAGTCTATTTGCACTGGTTTATTGATAAATTGACAATTGTTTCGCCGGTGAGTGCAACGTCAGGACTGTCCTGACAGAACAAATAGATTATTGTTCTTCCGTTAACAACAGATATTTCACATTAGTAAGAATTGATACTTATTCTAACAAATTAACCGTGGAATAAATAAATAATAATTCCAATTCAACATATTAGCAAGCGGACGGTAGACAGAATTTTATTTTGTATCATGTAAAACAATTGGAAAAGCGCAAACAAGTAAAGTCAATAATGGATTTGATTTTCAAATGGCTGAAGAAATGCGAGAACATACCTTGATGCAAAATAAATTTTTGCGTTTATGGACCTTAATTATGCACATTGTAGAACCAATGGAATACGCGTATAAAACAAAAAGAATACGCCGGCCGACGGAACATCACTCACGCTTTACCTCTGAGTATATGTACAATCCGCGTTGTACGAACCCCGCACATCAATCGCGCACAATCGAAGGAGCATTTAGCAACTTAAGAATAATGAAGAAAATGTGCGTGCAGATCACCTGACGACAAAAATGAAACTAACGTGGTACACAAGCCAACCGCGTGGCGATCGCACAAACATTGCACGAGATAAAAAAACATGTTTGTTTGTAAACACTGACACTTTCAGTGTGGTAGTGCAAAACATGAATAAAATTGTACACGTACTATGCATGGAACTATTAATTTTGATTAAATTTTAAATCGAAAATCTGATAGATAATTTAATTCTACATCGATTATTTTGGTAAATTTTTTTGATAACAACCGTTTAAACTCTATTTACAATTATAGAGAAAAATACATTCGTTTTTCGTAGACCTTTTTGTTCTTCAAAAATATTCGACCAAAAAATTTTAAGTAAAAAAGTTCTACCCTGTTTTTCGAACGAAAAATTTTTAACAAAATAATTTGACCGAAAAAATTTAACAAAAAATTCGACCGAAAAATTTTAAGTAAAAAAGTTCGACCCTGTTTTTCGAACGAAAAAGTTTTAACTAAAGAATTCGACCGAAAAAATATTAACAAAAAAATTCGACTGAAAAAATTTTAACAGGAAAAGTTCGACCCTGTTCTATGACCAAAAAAAATTTATCAAGAACAGTTCGACCCAGACAAAATTAGCGATATTTGAAGGGTATTTTAAGACACTTCCAAAGAGTTTATAGAGTAAAAAAAAGTGTGCATTGAATAGAGGGTCTCCCAAACTCTAACATAACGTCAAGAAACTGCAAGAAAATCAAATCATTTACGAGATTGACGGCGTTTTCCACATCAAGTTTTCAAATTTTTATAAAATAGCCCACTTTTGATGAGCATTTTAGGGTACTTCCGGAAGGACTTCAAGGTTGAAAGATATACAACTTGTAGAGAAACTGTCTGACTTTA